GGTTAAGTAAATCAATGGATAGTTTTAGTCCTCTTGAAAATACCAGTATAAGCGAAGACCCAATTCTAAACGATACAGATAAAAACACCCATTGTTGGAGTAATAGTGACAGCTCTAGTTACAGTAATGTTGATCATTTAGTTGGCATTCGGAATTTCAGCGTTGATGAAACTTTTTTAGTTAGGGATAGTAATAGGGACAGTTATTCCATATATTTTGATATTGAAAATCAAGTTTTTGAGATTGAAACTGATCATTCTTTTCTGAATGAACTAGAAAGTTCTTTTTATAGTTATTGGAATTCGAGTTATCTGAATAATGGGTCTAGCAGTGGTGACTTCCACTATGATCATTATATGTCTGATACTAAATATAGTTGGAATAATTACATCAATAGTTGTATTGACAATTATCTTCGCTCTCAAATCTGTATTGATTTAAGTGGTAGTAACAATTACAGTGAGAGTTACATTTATAGTTACATTTGTGGTGAAAGTGGAAATAGTAGTGAAAGTGAGAGTTCCAGTCTAAGAACTAGCACGAATGGTAGCGATTTAACTATAAGAGAAAGTTCTAATGATCTCGATATAACTCAAAAATACAAGCATTTGTGGGTTCAATGCGAAAATTGTTATGGATTAAACTATAAGAAATTTTTGAAGTCAAGAATGAATATTTGTGAACAATGTGGATATCATTTGAAAATGAGTAGTTCAGATAGAATTGAACTTTCGATTGACCTAGGCACTTGGAATCCTATGGATGAAGACATGGTATCTCTGGATCCCATTGAATTTCATTCAGAAGAGGAACCTTATAAAGATCGTATTGATTCTTATCAAAAAAAGACAGGATTAACCGAGGCTGTTCAAACAGGCACAGGTCAACTAAACGGTATTCCCGTAGCAATTGGGGTTATGGATTTTCAGTTTATGGGGGGTAGTATGGGATCCGTAGTAGGGGAAAAAATCACCCGTTTGATTGAGTATGCTACCAATAAATTTTTACCTCTTATTTTAGTGTGTGCTTCCGGAGGAGCACGCATGCAAGAAGGAAGTTTGAGCTTGATGCAAATGGCTAAAATATCTTCTGCTTTATATGATTATCAATCGAATAAAAAGTTATTTTATGTATCAATCCTTACATCTCCTACGACCGGCGGGGTGACAGCTAGTTTTGGTATGTTGGGGGATATCATTATTGCTGAACCTAACGCCTATATTGCATTTGCGGGTAAAAGAGTAATTGAACAAACATTGAATAAGACAGTACCTGAAGGTTCACAATCGGCTGAATTTTTATTCCATAAGGGTTTATTCGATCCAATCGTACCACGTAATCCTTTAAAAGGCGTTTTGAATGAGTTACTTCAGCTTCACGATTTCTTTCCTTTGAATCATAAATCAAGTAGAGCCTTAAGTTAATAGTTAATTAAATAGTTAATAGTTAATTAAATTAGTTAATTAAAAATAAAAATTTAGTTAATTAAATTGAATTTAAATTAGTTAAAAATTTTTTATCGGAATCAAAGGAAAAATCCGAAGAATGGATTTTTTTGTAACATAAGAGCGAATTGTAGAAAGAACTATGCAGATAATTTTTTTTTACCGATATTCTGATTACTAATTAAGAAACCTCTATCAACAAGAAAAAAGGGTGAATTCTTTTTCCGTGAAAAAAAAAGAAAATTTTGACAAGGTAAATAAAACGAATTTCATGCTCTTTTCTTACTTATGCATAGAAAATAGAGAGTCTTGCTATATATGTCTCCCCGGAATCCCCTTTTTTACTAATAAAAATACCTATTGACGGATCGGATTATAAATTCTTTAACGAATTTTTCGGGAATTTATAAGCAGAAAAACTCTTTATTTTTCTTATTTATTAAATTTTTATTTTTATTAAATTATTAAATATTAAAGTCAAATTATAAAATGAAAGTTATAAGACAAAAAAAAGATAAGAATAACAAATAAACGAATTATCATATATATTTCATGTAGAAATAGAAATAGGTCATTTAGTTAGTTCTACACTCTTTGCACTTTATTATATATATTCACTTAGATATACTTAGTATAATTATATAGGAATTCTAATGATTATAAGATATCTTTCTAATAATCTAATAATAAAATATTAATATAATTTAATTAATATAATTAATATAATTTAATTAATATAATTTAATTTATAATTTAATAAATAATATAAATAAATTTAATAAATAATATAAAAATAATATAATTTAATAAAATATTAATATAATTTAATTAATATAATTTAATAAAATATTAATATTAAAATATTAATATATTAATATAATTATAATATTAATATATATTAATATAATAATAAAAATATTTATAATTTATAATAATAAAAATATAATAAAAATAAATAACAGGTACAAATATTAAACCGAGGTGCCCATTCTATGACAATTCTTAACAACCTACCCTCCATTTTTGTGCCTTTAGTGGGCTTAGTATTTCCGGCAATTGCAATGGCTTCTTTATCTCTTCATGTTCAAAAAACAAGATTGTTTAGATCTGATTAGGCCCGATAAGGGTAGATTTCATTTATTTTTTTTCAAGACTTAGACTTGGATCATAATACAGATATCTATTTAGTATAAATACAGATATCTATTTAGTATAATATGATATAACATGCAGGCAGCTCCCTTCAAACATAAATGAAAATGAAAGGGTTCTTATGCAGGCGTAAATATTATATATGAGTAAATGAGCTATTTGAAAATAAATCGAGATTGCGGCGGAGGCCTGAAAGAAATGCAAAGCCAACGTTTTTATAGTAGATAGAGGTGAGGGGGCTCCCTTTTTAAAAATATTAAAAAAAAATAGGGAATTCATCGAATTCTTTCTAAAGATTCACATCCGAATAGTGCGAGTTGATGAAAGTTACTTCAAAAAAAGAAAGTCAAATTGGGCTAGTTTCCCACTTCAAATAAAAAGCAACTGAATCTAGTATGAGTTGGCGATCAGAACGTATATGGATAGAACTTATAGCGGGGTCTCGAAAAACAAGTAATTTCTGCTGGGCCCTTATACTTTTTTTAGGTTCATTGGGTTTTTTTTTGGTTGGAATTTCCAGTTATCTTGGCAAAAATTTGATATCTTTATTTCCATCTCAGCAAATAATTTTTTTTCCACAAGGGATCGTGATGTCTTTCTATGGGATCGCCGGTCTATTTATTAGTTCTTATTTGTGGTGCACAATTTTGTGGAATGTAGGTAGTGGTTATGATCGATTCGATAGAAAAGAAGGAATAGTGTGTATTTTTCGCTGGGGATTTCCTGGAAAAAATCGTCGCATCTTACTCCGATTCCTTATGAAAGATATTCAGTCTATTAGGCTAGAAGTTAAAGAGGGTATTTACGCTCGGCGTGCCCTTTATATGGAAATCCGAGGCCGGGGGGCCATTCCTTTGACTCGTACTGATGAGAATTTGACTCCGCGAGAAATTGAGCAAAAAGTAGCCGAATTGGCCTATTTTTTGCGTGTACCAATTGAAGTATTTTGAAATGAGATGAAGAATGAACATTTTCTTAGCAGGAGTGAAGAAATCCAAGAGTCTTCTTTTTTTTCTATAGCATAACTTAACTGAAAATTCTTCACAATGTTGATGAACCAAAGAAGACGTATATTATATATACGGAACAATTAGAAAACGAAACTTTTTATCTGCAAATTTTTTTATGTGTACGTAAATTCACTAAATTCAGTAACAAAACAAGAAAGAAATCTAAATAATAGACCCATCTCATAGAGCAAAACAAAGCATTTTGGAATAAAAAAATATAGAATAAAGAAATTCTCTTTTTATTTTCAATATTTGAAATTGATACTGGATAGATCATATCTTGTAAATTCTCTCTCCTTTCTTTTGTCAATCGACGTTTCTTTTTATCTTTTTTTGTTCTCCTTATTCGTGTACTCTTCTTTTTATTTTTAGGCTATTTTTTTTCTATTCTTTCAAAATTCAAGGACTAAGCACTGACTCACAAAAAAACAGGGAATAGATTCATAAGTTCGAAGCCTTGTAATAGAACTTATGCTTGATAGAAATATTAGATCATATAGAATCGATAAATGGAGTGGGTTCATTAAAAATTCACAGACGAAAAAATGAAAAGAAAAGCATTTATTCCCCTTCTATATCTTACATCTATAGTTTTTTTGCCCTGGTGGATCTCTTTTTTTTCTTTTAATAAAAGTTTTGAATCTTGGGTTATTAATTGGTGTAATACTAGTAAATCCGAAACTTTTTTAAATGATATCCAAGAAAAAAGTATTCTAGAAAAATTCATAGAATTAGAGGAACTCGTTCGCTTGGACGAAATGATAAAGGAATACCCGGAAACACATCTACAAGGGTTTCGTACCGGAATCCACAAAGAAACGATCCAATTGATCAAGATGCACAATGAAGATCGTATCCATACGATTTTACACTTCTCGACAAATATAATCTGTTTCGTTATTCTAAGTGGGTATTCTATTCTAAGTAATGAAGAACTTATTATTCTTAATTCGTGGGTTCAAGAATTCCTATATAACTTAAGCGACACAATAAAAGCTTTTTCAATTCTTTTATTAACCGATTTATGTATAGGATTCCACTCACCCCACGGTTGGGAACTAATGATTGGCTCTGTCTACAAAGATTTTGGATTTGCTCATAATGATCAAATTATATCTGGCCTTGTTTCCACTTTTCCAGTCATTCTCGATACAATTTTTAAATATTGGATTTTCCGTTATTTAAATCGTGTATCTCCGTCACTTGTAGTGATTTATCATTCAATGAATGACTGAAAAACGATCCATGAATCCAATTAGAATGTTTGTTATTTTCTTATTTTGTACATAAGCAAAACATTCAAAATCTTACTATATCTATATATATATTTTTTTTTCTATACATCACATCTTCTATACATCACATCCAAGGGATTTTCTTCCTATATTTTCTATTTTAGTAAAAATTTTTCAGTAAATAGCAGTATCGTGGATAGGGAACTATACTAGCGACCTACCTAATTTTATTGTAGAAATTTTCAGGATCAATCTTGGACCATGCAAACTAGAAAGACCTTCTCTTGGATAAAGGAAGAGATTACTCGTTCCATTTCTGTATCGCTCATGGTATATATAATAACTTGGGCATCCATTTCAAACGCATATCCCATTTTTGCACAGCAGGGTTATGAAAATCCACGCGAAGCAACTGGCCGTATTGTATGTGCCAATTGTCATTTAGCTAATAAGCCCGTGGATATTGAGGTTCCACAGGCGGTACTTCCTGATACTGTATTTGAAGCAGTTGTTCGAATCCCTTATGATATGCAACTGAAACAAGTTCTTGCTAATGGTAAAAAAGGAGCTTTGAACGTGGGGGCTGTTCTTATTTTACCTGAGGGGTTTGAATTAGCCCCTCCCGATCGTATTTCGCCAGAGATTAAAGAAAAGATGGGAAATCTGTCTTTTCAGAGTTATCGCCCCACTAAAAAAAATATTCTTGTAATAGGCCCTGTTCCTGGTCAGAAATATAGTGAAATTACCTTTCCTATTCTGTCTCCGGACCCCGCCACTAAGAAAGATGTTCGTTTTTTAAAATATCCCATATATGTAGGCGGAAACAGGGGAAGGGGTCAGATTTATCCCGACGGGAGCAAGAGTAACAATACGGTTTATAATGCTACAGCAGCAGGTATAGTAAGCAAAATCATACGAAAAGAAAAAGGGGGGTACGAAATAACCATAACGGATGCGTCAGAGGGACGTCAAGTGATTGATATTATACCTCCAGGGCCAGAACTTCTTGTTTCAGAAGGCGAATCCATCAAACTGGATCAACCATTAACGAGTAATCCTAATGTGGGTGGATTTGGTCAGGGAGATGCAGAAATAGTGCTTCAAGACCCATTACGTGTCCAAGGGCTTTTTTTCTTCTTGGCATCCGTTATTTTGGCACAAATCTTTTTGGTTCTTAAAAAGAAACAGTTTGAGAAGGTTCAATTGTCCGAAATGAATTTTTAGATCTGTAAATTTATCAACATCAAGTTTTTAAAAAGAAAAGAACCCAATTTTTGTTGGTAATTATATTATGTATGATAAAAAAATTGTGAAAAGCTCTTTGCTTTTTTTATATTTTTTTTATACCAGATATTTGGAATTTCTTCTACCGCATCTCTGGCCATAATATGTATATTGGTAAGAAGACTATTTGACTTTATCCCCTTTTTGTGTTTTTTTAATCTAAATAAAATGGGAGCAGTGTGATTATCTTACTATTGTCAGATTTAACTGTCATAGAGTGGATCAATAGCTTTTCTATTTTAAATAGAATCCAATTTGACTAGATACTAAGCATAAGATAAGTAAGCGGAAAAGCACAGAAAGGCTAAATTAAATGAGGGGAACAAAGGATTCTAGGAGGTATTATTTTATTCGTCTTCCTAGTCTTCGACACAAGAAAAGGAATTTTCCACATCCCTTTCTTGTGTCAAAACAAAATAATAATCATTCTTGATCCAATTCCTCAAAGATTACTATTCTTAGTTTCTATTTTTTCTAGGTTTATCATAACTTCCTTTTACTTTTTATACGTATAAATTAGATTTATTGCGTATAAAAAAAGTAAAAGCAGTGGACAAACAAAAAAGAAAGGGAAATTTTTTAAGCAAATAGAACTTCTTCAATGAACTTCTAAAAAAATTTCACCTTTTATGAGATACTGATACTAAAATCAATAGAGTAAGGTTCTATTAGTATACAAAAATTAGAAAAATGGACGACCGAAATATAGAAAATATGTATTATGCCATATAGGAAAAGGAAATCGAGTAATTCCTCTTATAACTTTGAAAGTATCGATAGATACTATCGAGAAGCAAATGTTCTAAATAAATAAATGGAGTTACTTTTTCAAAAACACCACAGAGTATAATCGAATTTTTTGAAATAAAATATTTGAAATATCAAAAAAAGGCAATCTATTTTGTCACTTATACGAATAAAGTATTCTGATTATTAAGAACCCAACGGGACCCCCTAGAATCAGACAGAGAAAAGGGGGTCCGTTGAGTTCTTACGCTTTCATGTCTACAATCCAGTACGCCCCGTTACTTACAGGGATGAACCCAATCCGGAATATGAACCATAAAAGAAAATGCCTATTAAACCGATCACAAGAATACCGGTTACAGTACCTATTATCCAAAGAGGAATTCTTCCAGTAGTATCGGCCATTTATCCCACTTCCCTCCACATTTAATCAAGTGGTCATGCTAGAGACATAAACAGTCATAGATAATTATGAGATGATATCCTTCCGACGGGATAAGAGAATTCCTATTCTTATTTATTATTCTACTATTTTCTTCTATTAATTTCTTCTATTAATTGAAGAAATAATTAGAAAATAAAACAGCAAGTACAAAAATGAGCAATAACCCCCAGTAGAGACTGGTACGATTCAATTCAACATTTTGTTCGTTCGGGTTTGATTGTGTCATAGTTCTATAATTAATAGGGATTAGATTTATCGTTGGATGAACTGCATTGCTGATATTGACCCCAAAAAAGAAACGGTAGGTACAGCTAATCCGTGAACAGCCAACCATCGTACTGTAAAAATTGGATAGGTTCGATCTATGGTCATTGGGCCTCCTAAAAAGATTTACTAAATTCATCGAGTTGTTCCAAAGGATCAAAACGGCCAGTTATTAATGGAATTCCTTGTCGGCTCTCTGTAAAATATTCATTTGGACGAGGGCTTCCAAATACATCGTAAGCTAAACCCGTGCTGACGAATAACCAACCTGCAATGAATAGGGAAGGTATAGTAATGCTATGAATGACCCAATATCGAATACTGGTAATAATATCAGCAAAAGAACGTTCTCCTGTGCTTCCAGACATACTGAGCTCCACATATTCTTGTACAATCAAAAGGGATCGATTCTGTAAAAGATAAGATCAGTAAATGGGATTTCACTGAAATGGAATCTTGTGAGATCGTCAATATTGTACCAAGGGTTTCTTTAAAATATACCGAATCAGTATAGCTATCCTTCTTCTGACGCAGCAACGCAACTTCAATCAGTATCGAAATGAAGTCCTAGATAATCTCTTTTTTCTTTTTTTGTTGCTGTAGAATTGTGTATCATAAGATCGGGTAAAATGCGAATTCGACGAGTTTCAATAATAATTCATGAGGGAGATTATCATATTATAAAGAGGATTCTCATATTATATTTCCGCAATTCTTAGATGTGAAATCTAAAAATTTGGAGCTTGTAGAAGAAGAGTTTTTGTTGGAATCCCCCTTTTTTCATTTTAAAAATGGGTTAGTCATCCATTAACAAGTACCAGTAGTAAAGAATATTCGATGAAAGAAGGAGAACAACGAAAAAGAATTCTAATATCTAATAATCAATATTCGTGATTCGTGATGCACGTATTCGTATATTAGATTCAAAGGGTCTTTCTTGACACTTAACCACTTTGATTTTTTCAAGTGATCTGATCGTGCGATACTTTTTTTTCTTCTTATTCGAGATATTATGTGAATGAATCAACTAATAAATCTAATAAGTTAAATTTAAATAAAATTGAAAATAGAAGGAAAAAGTAAAAGGTATTATAAAGAAAAAAGAAAAATAGAGGTTTCGTTTTAAAATTGAAAAACGATAAAAATTCGATACAAATATACAAAATATACAAATAAATAAATACTAAATAAATAAACTAAAAGAAAGTATCAAAATAGAAAAATTTTATAAAGTTTTTTGAGTGAAGTTATACAACACAGTTTTTATTACTTATTCTTATTAATTATTTTACTTATTCTTATTAATTATTTTACTTATTCTTATTAATTATTATTAATTAATTATTATTAATTATTAATATTTTTTTATTAATATTTTTTTAATATTTAATTATTGTATGTAATATTAGGTTTCTATTTTATATTCTATTTTCTATTAGTTTTCTATTTTATTTCTCAAGAACTGTCTAACGAATCTCTTGACTCGGAATCACGAGAATATAAGTAGATGTCATAGATGAAAAATGGATTTCTTTTTTTACTTATATACATTATCATTCTATTTTATTAGTGCTGTCTATAGTCTATAATCTATAATGATAATGATTGATAAATAAATAAAAAAATTCTCAATTGAACTTATTCTTTCATTTGGTATTTTTGTTTATCCTCGTATCTTTCAAAAAATTTAACTTAGGAAAGTGCTTTTGCTTTACAAGCATATGTATAAAAAAAATTTATTTAGCTCCTTAATGCCTACTATAACTAGTTATTTCGGTTTTCTACTAGCGGCTTTAACTATAACCTCAGTTCTATTTATTGGTCTGAGCAAGATACGGCTTATTTGAAATTAATATTTGAAATTAATTGAATGAACAATTTCTAAAAAGAAAAGGAAAATTTTCTACAATATTCCTACAATATTCCATCGATAATATTCCATCGATTCTTTAGTTCTTTACTGTGTTACAATTTTTGTATTGAGATTTATGAGCCATATAGATTAATATTTAAGGATAGATATTACCTCTCTTTTTCCCTTTTTCAAATAAATTGAAATGATTGAAGTTCTTCTATTTGGAATCGTCTTAGGTCTAATTCCTATTACTTTGGCCGGATTATTCGTAACTGCATATTTACAATACAGACGTGGCGATCAATTGGACCTTTGATTAATTAACACTTTGTTTTTTGACCTCCTCCTTTCTTTAGTCCGCAGGAGGTCAAATTCAGATTGCTCCTCTATTTTTTCCGTATAAATTTTGACCTTTTTGACCTAACAAAACAAGAACAGAATCGCGCTCTGTAGGATTTGAACCTACGACATTGGGTTTTGGAGACCCACGTTCTACCTAACTGAACTAAGAGCGCTCTCTTATCACAGTCACAAAAAATGCGACTGTAAGTAAAAAGATTCTTTTTTTAACTCTAATACATCTTGAACGCCTATACTATATACTATCATATATAATACGATAAAAATTATAGTTATAGATTAGGTACGCCTAATTTGAATTGATCTCAATCGATCCCTCGTTATTGCTCAGAGACGAAGTAATAGGTAGGGATGACAGGATTTGAACCCGTGACATTTTGTACCCAAAACAAACGCGCTACCAAGCTGCGCTACATCCCTTTCAATTAGTTTACAATGTTATTCTAAAGAATACCGGTTTTGTTTTCCACATACTTATTTCATTTTCTCCATTGATATACATTTTCTTTTTGATCTCATATCATTATATATAATTATATAGAATTATAAACTTACGTAAATTTCGTGAATGCTCGGGAAAAAAGGGCATATTTTCTTTTTTAAGTTTTAAGAAAAGGAAAATCTTATCTATCAAATTCTTGTACATTTTAATTTGAATTAGAGATTCCGCGTACAAAACAACTGCAAGTGGCCTTATATATCTGATTATATATGTAGTTATCTGATTAACTATGTATTATCATTATGTATTACAATAAAATAAATATTATTTATTACAATAACAAAAAGAAGGAGGATTTGAAATGCGAGATCTAAAAACATATCTATCGGTGGCACCGGTAATAAGTACTCTATGGTTTGGGTCTTTAGCAGGTCTATTGATAGAGATCAATCGTTTTTTCCCAGATGCGTTGACATTCCCCTTTTTTTCATTCTAGTTATCAACGCGCAGGAGGGGGGGGGTGAAGAAACGAAGATTCGAGATACAATTAAATATCTGTGACTACTAACCCCTCTTCTTTTTTTATTTAATTAGAATAAGTTAGAAAAGAAAAAAGTGGATTCAACCTCAGCAAAACTCGGAACTCGGGCCCCGCCTTCAAGTAAATTCACTTCAATTAAATTATTCAATTAAATTAGAAGTGGAGATGTGGGTAGTGCAACAGTATTATAAGATGCTTAAATGAAATATTGTACTGTGATTGTAATCTAAACTTCTAATCTAAATATAGTTTAAAATCTTTGTATTACTTATTATTACATTAATATATTAGTTGCAATGAAATCTTTCATAATTTGATTTTGAGTTAGCAACTTCTATTTTTTCGCTCCTTTCTTCTTCATTTCGGATCGGAAAATAGAAGAATTGAGTGAATAAAAAATCCCAAGGAGGTTCATGGCCAAGGGTAAAGATGTCCGGGTAAGAGTTATTTTAGAATGTACCGGTTGTGTTCGAAACAGTGTTAATAAGAAATCAACAGGCATTTCAAAATATATTACTCAAAAGAATCGACACAATACGCCTAGTCGATTGGAATTGAGAAAATTCTGTCCTTATTGTTACAAACATACAATTCACGGGGAGATAAAGAAATAGATGGAATCGATCGCTTGCGTGTCACCTTTACATACAAGGACATACAAGGAAGATGAAAAATGACATAAATGGCATATTCATATTAATATATAATATGTTATGTTAATATGTTATGTTAATATTCAAATTTTCTATTTAAATTGAAATATTTAATGAAATATTTCAATATATAATTCTAATTTTTTCTATTTAATTCTATTTAAATAGAAAAAATAGAAAATAAACAAGCAAAATCCTATTTCTTAATTCCAAATCATTTTTGATCCAATTGAACGAAATAGGATTTTCGAAATAAGGAATAAACAAACCATGGATAAATCCAAACGACTTTTTCTTAAGTCCAAGCGATCTTTTCGTAGGCGTTTGCCCCCGATCCAATCGGGGGATCGAATTGATTATAGAAACATGAGTTTAATTAGTCGATTTATTAGTGAACAAGGAAAAATATTATCTAGACGGGTGAATAGATTGAGTTTAAAACAACAACGATTAATTACTATTGCTATAAAGCAAGCTCGTATTTTATCTTCGTTACCTTTTCTTAATAATGAAAAACAGTTTGAAAAAAGCGAGTTGGTCACTATAACTACTGATCTTAGAACCAGAAAAAAAAAAATAGACTTACTCCTCAATTGAATCAAAATTCCAATTTGAACTGAAACATAGATTGATGTTTTGTTCAAAAAAAAAATGCGAAAATCAAAATTGGATTGTCGTGTTGTAAGAAAAAAACGAATTAGGGAAGAAGAAATTTTTTTATTGAATGTTTTTCTCAGAATGTTTTTTGTCAGTTTGACTACTTTATTTGATCATATTATCATCATATTTTATCATACTAATTTCTATTCTACCTTCCCAGAATTCATTCTTCAGAAAATTCCATGTAAAACATTCCATGGATTCCTTCCAATCTCTTTCCAATCTCTTTATTTTATAATGTCATTGGCAATCATATAAAGACAATTCTTATTTACTATAGCGATTTGTGCAAGTATTTTACGATTAAGAAGCAACTGTCTCTTGTACAGATTGTTTATTAATCTACTATAACTTTTGGATACCTTATTCTCGCGAATTGCTGCATTTATCCGAGTGACCCACAAACGACGAAAATTTCCTTTTTGCCTATCTCTATCCCGATGGGCCGAAATCAAAGCTCTTATTTTTTGTTGAATAATAGTTCGAGTAAGTCTTGAATGAGCCCCGCGAAAGCTTGATGCAAATAAACGAATTTTTGTTCTACGCCTCCGAGCTATATATCCTCGTCTAATTCTGGTCATTGAATAAACGAAATTTTGATGAATAACTAATTGATTTCCTTTCTTTCAGTTATTCTTTTCCCCTTTTCTATAATACCAAAACGGATTCTTCCAGTGTATAAAATAATAATTCCAATGGCTTTTGCTACTATAACCTTCCCAACCACGATTTTTTCTTTTTTTCGAGGTATTTTGCCTCAAAATAAGAAACTGTATTGATACTAGGTATCAAACAAAAATTGAATAAATAAATAGCATCGATAAATAAATAGCGGATTTCATCGTTTCTATGGTTACTTCTTAAACGGTGAGGTCTTCTCTATACACCGGAGCCCCCTCCTTCATTTAATTATTTAATCAATGCTATTGTTAACGTGTACAGTTCACACTCTTTGGCTCTACCTATGAATTATCCAGTAATAGGTCTTTGGGTCTATCTATACAGTAACGGTATTTAATTATGAGGATTAGCTAATTAGTTGACCCTGTTAGTCCGTTCTTGCAAGAGTAAGGGCATAATTTTCGCCTTTTAATTTAAATTTAATTTAAATAGGATTTCCCCCGCTTAACGGATAATCATTTGCTACCAATGGGGAATTCTTTTTGTTTTAAATTGAAAATTGAGGTGATTGAATTTGCACCAATGAAACCATAAATTTGATACACAATAGACTAATATGATAGATTTTTAGATTTTTTTTAGATAATGAAGGGGATTCTTCCATTCTATCTTATTCATCTGTACTGATCACAGGTAGTGGAAAATTTTTTCCTTTCTTTTGTATTCTTTTGTACAAGCCCACGATCTGAACAAGTCGCGCATACACCCTAGTACATGTTCCTCGGCGCTGAGGACATCCCCCAAGAGCGGGGGATTTAGTGACATTTCTGATTGGCTGTCTTGTGTTTCTAATAAGTTGTTTAATTGTTGGCATGTTGAATCATATGCATAATGGGCTGGTTTAGATCGATCCTAACCGGATGATTATGCATTTTTTCTATATTAATAAGAATATTAATATTCTATTATTAATATTAAATGTTAAAATATTTATTAAATATTAACAGAATATTAAATTGAAATTCCGATACGAAAAAAATACCAAATCGCGATTTGCGCGAAATTCCTATTATTTCTTAGGCAACTGCTACAAGGTCAACAATTCCATGAGCTTGGGCTTCTGTTGCTGACATAAAAACATCTCTTTCCATGTCTTCGGATACAATCCATAAGGGTTTTCCCGTTCTTTGTGCATAAATCCTTGTGAGGATTTCGCGCAGTTTCAGTAGTTCTTCTGCTTCCAGGACAAATTCTACTATTTGTGCCTCATAAAAACCAGCAATAGGTTGATGAATCATTACCCTGATGATATAAGAAGAAAATGGTTATTCTATCTTGCATAACATAATACATAAAAAAAATAAGATGACGAGAAGAGATAAAGAATAATAAGAAAAAAGATAGAATTGAACAACCGTACAGGCATTTTTTGTGCATTGCATACGGCTCCACAATAGAATTCGCTTTTACCTTTCATCGAAGAAAAATTTAGAGTTTATCAGGCTTAAATCAGTAAATGATTCAATAACCACCCTTTCCTTGGGAGGAGTTAAAAAACAAAAATACTATGGTGGTCCCGTTGCTTTTTTTCATCAGTGATTTAGCAATCCCAAAGTTTCTTTTTTGTTTTTATTTGAAAAAAAAGAAAATAATATAATCTTTTTTGTACTCTTTCATAACATAAATAGTGTTAAGAGCCCCGAAGTGCGAAAACAGAAAAGTTTGTGACGCTGAAATAGGCCCCTGATAGAATAAAATCAGAAATACCCTTACCTTAATATCTCATACTACTCTTTCGATACATAATCTAATGTTAAAAAAAAATAAAAAACTGTTCTTATATCGAATTCGAAATGCCATGCTATTATTACTTAATTTTTATATTATATTTCATATGGCGAAGGCATACTTTTCCTTTTTCTTTTAAAAATATTCAAATAAAAACCCATTGGCGCCAAGCATGAGGGAATGCTAAACGTTTGGTAATTTTTCCTCCGACCAGGATAAAAGATCCCATTGAAGCAGCTAATCCCATGCATACTGTTTGTACATCTGGTCGCACAAATTGCATAGTATCATAAATAGCTATTCCGGGTATTACCCATCCGCCAGGAGAGTTTATAAACAAATACAAATCTTTTGTCTCGCTCTCTATACTGAGATATACCATAAGACCAATAAGTTGATTCGAGATTTCGCTATCAACATCTTGACCTAAAAAAAGTAATCTTTCTCGATAAAGTCGGTTGATTAGGATAAAATTCTATCCTCTAGAAACCGTACATG